TGGGAAAGCAAGGCAGTTGTATGAGGATCTTGCAAAGAAAATGCCTGAACAAGTGCTGCTGTTTGTGAATTTAGGGCCATGCAAAGGATGGTTTTGATAGATTTTAAGAATCGTAAGTGGCATACACAGTATTGTAGGCATGGTGAAGGCTGCAAGTTCTGACAAAATGTCAGGCGAAAAATTTGTTCAGAATTCCCAGGTACATAGAGGCTGAAGGATTCAAAAACCCCACAGGTGTTCAGTGTGACAAAACAAGGCCTGTTTTGGAAGAAAATGCCAACAGGACCTACATACCCAGGAGGAAAAGGCACTGCCAGGACACAAGCTTATGGAAAGACATGCTTACTCTTTTGTTATGTGGTAAATGCTAAGTGGGATTCAAAGTGAAGCCTTTACTTGGTATCCTCAGAAACACAGTGTTGTTCAAGAAAAACAGTGTCATGAAAATAGATGTGTGTGATGTGGAAAGCCACTCATAAGGCATGGGTCACAAGGGCAAATTTTCAAAGAGTGGTTAATGATGTGGTTTGGCCCAGTGTGAAAACATATCTCCCCAGAAAAGAAATCCACTTCAGGTGCCTCCTGGTACTAGACAGTGCTCCGCACATTCCCAGACCTGGAAGACCAAGGGTTTATGGGACTTCTAATTTTATAAAAGTGAAGTTTCATGCTTCTAACACACCACTCCCTTACTCCTTCCAGCCATGGAGCCAGCAGGTCATTCTAACTTCAAAAACTCTACACAAAAGCAGTGTTTCAAAAGTGCTTGAAGTAACCTTGACACCTCAGTGATCCTAAGAGAGTTCTGAAGGAATCATATCCAGTTCCTCCATTGCATAACCTTATAGGTAAGGCATTGGGAGGGAGTGACTACTAGGACTTTGAGACTTTGCTTGGAGAAAACTGTGTCCAGATTGTGCCAAGAGAGGATTTTGAAGAGTTTAAGGCCTGACCCTGACCCTGCTGACCCTTGGACTCTATTGTGGAACTGGGGAAAGTCCCTGTGGTTGTGAGGATGAGTGGCGAGGGATGTTAAGAGTTGGTGGAGGACCACAGGGAAGAGCTCAACCACTGAAGAAGCTGCAAGAGTTCCAACTTGAACAGCAACAGACCGCAGCTGAGGAACCTTGCATCACAGGGGGAGGAAGAGGGAGTGAATGAGGTGCCTTCTTCATTGATTAAGAACATAGTTGCAAAGTGGAATGATTGCAAAGTTTTCCCCCCCTCGAGAATACCACCCTACAAAGCGAAACAAGCCAATCTGCAACATGTTTAGTGACAAAACCCTGTCCCACTTCAGGAAAATCTTAGAGATGCCAGAAACAAAGCACTCTGACAGTTATTTTTGTGAGACAGGGGTCCAGTGACTCCAAGCTGGTCCTAGTGGCAATAAAAGACAGAGACGGGAAGTAACGCCAGAGAAGGCTTTGCTACCTACAGTCTTTATGGAGGGGGATTCACCCCTTCCAAAACACTAACTCTCCTCCCTCTTACCTCCTCCCTATCTTCCAGAATCTAGCATTAGCCTTCAATAAGGTAGTGAATATTTATATACTGTTAAAAAAAATATTTTTTTTTGTGAATATTTTTGTCTGAATGGATTAATTGTATTTACATTAATTCTTATGGGAAATAGTATTTTGGTTTTCGGCTGACCTTCTGGAATGGTAACAGCTTGTAACCGAGGGTCCCACTCTGTACCTACTTACTGCTTAGTGAACCAGAGACAGTAAGTTCCAGGTGCACCACCACTCTCCTCCTGATAAACTCTCCCGACTTTTGCATACAATCCAATGTCAGAGACACTGGTCTGTAGTTTAGTGGCCTTGTTTCTGTCTCCTTTCTTAACCCTTTGGGGTCAATAGGTCCTCTCAGAGACTTTGTTCTCAGGGTCGGCCAAATTTTTTTCACAAAAAAAAAAAAAATTGGTTCTTATGAAAAGATAGAGAACTTTTCCCGATCATAATGACACCAATAGTATGAAATTGATCGAAAACTTACGAAATTATGCTCTCGCGAAGTTAGCGGTCTCTGACTGTGTTGTCAGGCCGATTTCCCTTAAACCTTTTCTCATAGGACATTCCCCTTAGCCTCTGGAAACTAACCCTTGTCGGCAAACATTGCACTTTCTCTAATTTCTTTGACGTACTTGATCAAGTGCGGGTTTCCAAACAGGTACTGCGTGTGTGTGTGTGACCTAATTAATGTTTGCATTAATAACTCAATATGATTGTGACTAGATACAAACATGTAAATGGTTCATTAACCTTATAGGGGAATAAGTCCTTGTTGGTATACCTGGTAAAGTGTATGGTAGAGTTATTATTTAAAGAATTAAGAGTAAGAGGGGTGTAGGATAGCAGACAACAAGGAGGCTTTAGGAAGTGTAAGACCAGTGTTTTACAGTGAAACAGTATTTAGATAAGAGTAAGCAGTTTTTTGTGGCATTTATGGACTGGAAAAGGTTGTGATGACAGGGTTGGATAGGGAGGGCAGTGTGACAGATGTTGCAGATGTATGGAAAAGGAGGGTGGGGTTGGGGGGAGGTGAGTATCTTACCTTAACTAATCACAATGATCCCCCCAAAATATCTTCACTACTTCACCTGAACTCGACATACGCTCTCGTTCTCAACAACCCCTACCCCTACCTTCCAACTCCCCTACATTATATCACACCCCCATAAGTCAGTATATAATCTGAATTTGTAATACCTAGAAGTGCCTGTGCTCGGGTAGATGTCAGATGTGTGGGGGGGTTAACCGCTTTTCAGGGTCCATGCCTAGTTCTAACAGCTTTGAGTTTTGGTCCCAATACCGAGTTCTATGCTATGAACTCAGCTCAGATAAACTGTGAGTGGTAAATTTGGGCCTAGATATGAGAGAATACATCTGTGTGGTAGGTGTGCACCACATAAAACAAATCCTGCAGCACACAATGCATAATGAGAGAAAAAAACTGAGACCGTAATTTTGGATTAAAAAAAAGCGACTTTGCGGTGCTTTTTTTGTACGTTTTTTATACTTGCATTTGTGATTTTCTTGGTCTCATTTGATAGAATGGAAGATATATAACAGAAATAGAAATGATTTGATTGGTTTTAGTACTGAAAATGGCTTGAAACTGAGCTCAAAGTAGCCAAAATGTTAAGTTTTTGCCAGTGTTCAAGAGTAAAACAAATGGCATCAAGTATCTAATATGCATCAGCTGGTGGATCTAATATACTTTCACGAATGTGGTGATATTATTTATAAAATTATTGCAATATTTCATTGCAGTAAATCTTCCATTTTTTGGTATGAATAAAAAATTCATTATGTGAATAAAAAAATCAAAATAGAATTCATTTGTAAAGCCTGAAATATAACTAATGAACAGAGAAAATGTTAGTTTAGTGCCAGGAATGTCTGCATTGTTTATTCTGGACCCTATTTTGAAACTGGAATATATTGAACTTTGTGTTAAATTGGCCAAATTACCAATTTCCGATCACTTTATTGGGTAGTTGAAACAGTTGACTTGGTGATTTCTTGTGCCAAATCGATAAAATAGAAGCAATACTAGCAAAAATGGCTAAGAATTTGGTCGACTGGAATGATGTAATTGGCCTAAAATGGGAGTCAGAGTCAGCAAAATCGCTGATGTGTAAATAATAGTTGACACATCAAAATTCGTGAGAGCATAATTTATCGATTTTCCATAAAATTTCGTATTTTTTTGTTTTATTACCTTCAGAAAAAGATTCCTACCATTTCACAAGAAATTTTTTTTTTTTTTTTTTTTTTTTGAAAATTCTTGGACCCTGTGGACAAATCTCAGATTTGGGTCTGGTCCCTGAAAGGATTAAAAGATAAAGAATATAACACAAAATGAGAGTTGTCACAGTTGCTCTTTGCTGATGACACTGTGCTTCTGGGAGATTCTGAAGAGAAGTTGCAGAGGTTGGTGGATGAGTTTGGTAGGGTATGTAAAAGAAGAAAATTAAAAGTGAATATAGGAAAAAGTAAGGTAATGATGGATAAAATTAAGTAACGAAAGATTGGATATCAGATTGGAGGGAGAGAGTATGGAGGAGGCAAATGTATTCAGATATTTAGGAGTAGACATGTCAGCAGATGGGTTTATGAAGGATGAGGTGAATCATAAAATTGACGAGGAGAAAAAGGTGCACTTAGGAGTCTGTGGAGACAAAGAACTTTGTGTGTGAATCATGAGTGGTAAATGTTGCAACAAGGAGAAGGCTGGAGGCAGTGGAGATGTCGTGTCTGAGGGTAATGTGTGGTGTGAATATAATGTGGAGAATTTGTAGTTTGGAAATTATGAGGAGGTGCAGGATTACCAACACTATTATCCAGAGGGCTGAGGAGGGGTTGTTGAGGTGGTTCAGACATGTAGAGAGGTTGGAACAAAATACAGTGACTTCGAGAGTGTGTAAATTTATAGTGGAGGAAAGGTGGGGTAGAGGTCAGCCTTAGGAAAGGTTGGAGGGAGGGGGTAAAGAAGGTTTTGTGTGCGAGGGGCTTGGACTTCCAGCAAGCAAGTGTAAGTGTGTTAGATAGGAGCGAATGGAGACAAATGGTTTTTAGGATTTGATGTGCTGTTGGAGTGTGAGGAAGTGTAATATTTATAAAGGGATTTAGGGAAACTGGCAGGTTGAACTTGAGTCCTGGAGATGGGAAGTACAGTGCCTGCACTCTGAAAGAGGGGTGTTAATGTTGCAGTTTTATAACTGTAGTGTAAGTGCTTCTCTGGCAAGACAGTTATGGAGTGAATGATGGTGAAAGTTTCCTTTTTCGGGCCACCCTACCTTGGTAGGAAACGGCCAATGTGTTAAAAAATAATAATAATAATAATAATAATAAATAATAATAATGCCTTTGTACCTTATTCAGCCATCAAAACTTTGCAGCCCAGTCCCTGGACTCATTATATACCTCTGTAATCCTTTGAGTACCACCCACAGGATGAGTATGGGGTGCATAATAAAGATGTTAAACTACCTTTCTTGCTGAGAAAGAGAAAAACCAGGAAAGATAGTATGTGTTCCTTCATGGCTTAAAGAAGGCTTGTGAGTCGTTGAGTGGAGACTGGAGAGTCAAGTGGTCAAGATGTGTTATGTGTTACGTGTTTTAACCAACGATGTATCCCTGATGACTTCCATGACTTAAATGCTCCCTAACTTTACTCTCACATTACAGACTCTTTACTGAGCTATTGATCTTAGCATTTATATATGTTACAGCTATTACTGCGACCCATTAAAACAGCAGTATAAGTGTAATATAAAGAACATAAAAATACATGTGGCAACTGTAGTGGACTCTCCTTGAAGTGTCTCTGGCATGAGGTTATCATTATTGTCTTCAGAATGATAAGATTATCTCAAGCATTGTTTATCATATCAATAAACATCCATTTGTAAACTTTCCTCCAGTAACTAGTTGCTCTTTACCAACACTTGTTAATGACAGTATTCACACTTACAAGGACCCCAGTGGAAATATGTCACTTTGTCTGACTTTTTTTGGGTTATTCTGATGGGTGATTTACACATATGTTACTATGTATATATGATGATTTGTGTAACTTTATTTATGTGTACCTGTACCTAAATAAACTTACATTGTTAGAATGGTTTCTCTAAGTCATTTTCACTGATTCATGTTAGTCAGTGCCAGAGCAGCTGGGCTGTGGTTTGTATATTGGACTGTGCAGCCAGCAGTAACAACCTAATTGATCAGGTCCTGAGCCACTGGGAAGCCTGGTTATGGACTTGGCTGTGGGGGCATTGATCCCTGGAATACCCTCTAGGTAGACCACATAGTGGCATGTGACCATCACACAAGCCATGGTGGTTTGTGTCTGATGTGTTTGATGGTTCAAGAGTATCTGTGTATTTGGCTTCAATGAAATGTTCTGTGTATTGTTGTGTTTTGTTGTATGTTTACAAACAATGTTTGGCAGAATAATTATAATATGTATGTGGTAGTGTTCTTACCTCCCTCCCTCCCTCCTTATCTTCCTCCTTATCCTCATCTTCCTTATCCTCTGCCTTCTTATCTTTCTCCTCATCCTTCTTATCTTCTTCTATCCTCCTCCCTCCCTCCCTCCCTCCATCCATCCATCCATCCACCCACCTTTACCTGCTCCTTCTCTAACATCTCCCTGTGTATATATTTCATAAAGTGGTCTTCTCTCTCTATTCTTTGTGCACTTTGTATTTCTAAATCAATGTATTAGCTTCATTTGTGATTATGTATGCAGGTATTGTGATTATATATACAGGTACTGTATTTGATCTAAAAAGAAGATTGTTGTAATGGTGTCATCTTGTTTTAGGTGGAGTCTGTGCAGTTAGCCATACAGATCCTTGATGAGTACCAGGTGGGTAATAAGAAGATCCACGTTGAACAAGCCAAGTTCCAACAAAAGGGAGAGTACAATCCAAAGCTGAAACCGCGCAAGAAGCAAAAGAAAGTCTTAGAAAAAATCCAGAAACGACAGGAAAAGTAAGCCTTTTTGCCATGAGGGTTTTGAGTCTGGTTCTGGTACAGTAAGTCCTCAATTTATGAGCACATTGAGAACCTTCTGTATTGTGTATACAATATCATTATTATATCATTATTATACACAATTCATGGGGTCCCCAATGTGTTTGTAAATTGAGTACTTACTGTATTTACACGTGATTCTCAACCTGGGATGGGTTACATTCCAATGAACCCACGTTAAGTCAGAAATATTGTTAGTCGAATATGAATGTGACGTGCTAAACAAATAAATAAATAACCACTGTCACTGAATAAGTAAATAAACAAATAATTACTCTAACTAAATACCAGTATTGAAAAGTAAATAAATGAATGAAAGTTGTGGACTTGTTGCCTTCATCCTGGGTAATTATCTTTAGTTTCATCTCTAAAGTAATTTCTTTTGCACAATCGTAAAGTTGAAATATAGTAAGTCGAACCATCATGAGTCAAGGATCACCTGTAATTGATAAAAAGAGCTATTCATTATATTTCAGTTATTTATTATAATGATTGGCATAAAAATTTTGGTCCAGTAATTTCTTTATCTTGTAGGTTATTTGACTGGCGACCTGAGCCTCTGCGAGGCCAACGGCAAAAGAATGAAAATACAGTAGTGATTCGCAATGCATTTGACCCAAAAGAGTTTGTGGATGCTATGGAGAAAATATTGGTTCATAAAGATGCCCTAAGAAATCAGTGTGAGAATTTTGGCAAAATAAAGAAAATGGAAATGCATGATGTAAGTTGGTATAAAGTAATGGATTGTTGGTTTATCACTGTTGTATTGTTTAGTTATACACATTGTTGGTTTATCACTGTTGTATTGTTTTAAATATACACATTGTTGGTTTATCACTGTTGTATTGTTTAGTTATGCACATTGTTGGTTTATCACTGTTGTATTGTTTAGTTATATATACACATTGTTGGTTTATCACTGTTGTATTGTTTAAATATACACATTGTTGGTTTATCACTGTTGTATTGTTTAAATATACACATTGTTGGTTTATCACTGTTGTATTGTTTAAAAATACACATTGTTGGTTTATCACTGTTGTATTGTTTAAATATACACATTGTTGGTTTATCACTTGTATTGTTTAGTTATACACATTGTTGGTTTATCACTGTTGTATTGTTTAGTTATACACATTGTTAGTTTATCACTGTTGTATTGTTTAGTTATACACATTGAGGTTAAGATTTTACAACTATATAAAGTTGAGAGAATACTATAATAGCAAGCTATGTGATATATAAATACTACATATAGTTGTATTTATTTGCCTCTTTAAAGCAGATGAAATGCATTAATAATTTAGAGTTTTTCCCTTAAAGGTTAGGTAAGGCTTGTCAGGAAACAGGACAAGTGTTTAATGACACCTGACAGATGATGACTCACCATTGGAGCTTCTGATCATCTGACTGAGGCCTTCTGCTGGCCTACCAGTTCACCCCTTTAAAAATTACAGTCATAGTTATAACCAAATGTAAATATGATAATGATCACAGCTATGTACACAGTACTCCATGTACATAACGTTCTTACACTTTTCATAACTTTCAACTTTAACCCTTACAGGGTCGAGAGGCCCTCTCCTAAACTTGTTCCCAGGGTCGAAAATTTCTCAGAAAAAAATAATTTTTTCTTATGAAAAGATAGAGAATCTTTTCCCGATCATAATGACACCAAAAGTATGAAATTTGATGGAAAACTTACAGAATTATGCTCTCGCAAAATTAGCGTTCTTGACGATGTTTATGCATTGGCGATTTCGCCCATTTGAGCCCTATTTTCTGCCAATTCCAGTGTACTAATCGACAAAATTTATAACTATTTTGCTAGAACCCCCCCCTTTTTTTTTCGAGTGAGTACAAGAAACCCCCCCATTTACTAAATTTTAACTATCCCAAAAAAGTGGTCAAAAAAATTGCAATTTTGCCAAATTTCACACAAAATTTCAAAAGATGCCCCCTTTTCCCCCTGGGTCAGAATAAACAAAAAACAGACATTCCGGCACAAAAATAACCCTTTACCTGTTCATTGTCACATTCCCCAAAACCCCCCCTTTCTTTTTTTTTGCTTTCCCCCTTTGAATTTTTATTTTTCACAAAAAATAGAAATTTACTGTTATGCAGGGCTAAATGCATTAAATGTAAAAAAAGGTATAAAAAAATTTCAGTGCCCCTTGTGGAAAAAAATTTTTAGACTCCCAGTTTTGGGTATTGGGAAAGCGTGGCATTTAATTTTTTACTTTTGAACTTGGCAAAAATTTGAAAATTTCTGAAAACTTTGAGCCCCCCCCCCCCCAAATTTTAAGGTACTTTTCTTTGTGAAAAACCCAAACAAAATATCTCGTTTTTTGTAATAAGTCTTCCATTCTATTTTTAAAAAACCAAAAAACTAGAAAACAAAATTTAAATACATATGAAAATACAGTTGGAAGTCCCCTTTTTTAACCAAAAAAAACGGGCAAAGTTTTTTTTTTTCCTTTATTTCCACGTGTGCTGTAGGGTTTTTTTTAAAACTGTTTCACACCCGACCACATAGAACCCCCTTTATTCATATGTAAGGGCCCACCACCTTTTGTCCAAAATTTGGGTGCTAGAATTTACTGGGAATAGTACGTCAAAAAACCCCGCCATACTGGGATGTCGGGAACCCCCGAAAAAAGGTTTTCCCTTTGAAATGTCGCGGCTTTTTATGTACTATTTTCGAGGGGAACCAATGTTTGACATATTTTTTTTTTTTTTTTATTATCACAAAACCCGGGCCCATTCCCCCCAAAGGGAGGGTTTTCCCCCAAAAAAAAAAACTTTCAAACCTTATTCACTCCAACACTGTTTTTTTGCCAGAAGGGGACTTTACACTACATTTTTAAAATGAAACATTTTAAAACCCCCCCCCTTCAGAGTGCGGGCACTGTACTTCCATCTCCAGGACTCAAGCCCGGCCTGCCGGTTTCCCTGAATCCCAAAATGTTACTTTGCTCACCCAACAGCACGTCAAGTATTAAAAACCATTTGTCTCCATTCATCCTATCAAACACGCTCACGCATGCCTGCTGGAAGTCCAAGCCCCTCGCACACAAAACCTCCTTTACCCCCTCCCTCCAACCCTTCCTAGGCCGACCCCTACCCCGCCTTCCTTCCACTACAGACTGTACACTCTTGAAGTCATTCTGTTTCGCTCCATTCTCTCTACATGTCCGAACACCTCATACAACCCTTCCTCAGCCCTCTGGACAACAGTTTTGGTAATCCCGCACCTCCTCCTAACTTCCAAACTACGAATTCTCTGCATTATATTCACACCACACATTGCCCTCAGACATGACATCTCCACTGCCTCCAGCCTTCTCCTCGCTGCAACATTCATCACCCACGCTTCACACCACCATATAAGAGCGTTGGTAAAACTATACTCTCATACATTCCCCTCTTTGCCTCCAAGGACAAAGTTCTTGTCTCCACAGACTCCTAAGTGCACCACTCACTCTTTTTTCCTCATCAATTCTATGATTCACCTCATCTTTCATAGACCCATCCGCTGACACGTCCACTCCCAAATATCTGAATACGTTTCACCTCCTCCATACTCTCTCCCTCCAATCTGATATTCAATCTTTCATCACCTAATCTTTTTGTTTATCCTCATAACCTTACTCTTTCCTGTATTCACCTTTAATTTTCTTCTTTTGCACACCCTACCAAATTCATTCCACCAATCTCTGCAAATTCTCTTCAGAATCTCACAAGAGACAGTGTCATCAGCAAAGAGCGCTGTGACAACTCCCACTTTGTGTTGTGAATCTTTATCTTTTAACTCCGCCTCTTGTTACCAAGACCCTCGCCAATTACTCTCTTACAACCCCATCTATAAATATATTAAACAACCACAGGTGACATCACACATTCCTTGTATAAGGCCTACTTTTACTGGGAAAAATTTCCCTTTTCCTACATAACTCTATACTTGAGCCTCCACTATCCTCGTAAAAAACTCTTCACTGCTATCAGTAACCTACCTCCTACACCTTACACTTGAAACATCTGCACATGCCCCCCTATCCACCCTGTAATTGCCTTTTCCAAATCATACTGCCACAAAGACCTCTTTAGCCTTATCTAAAATATGTTAATCTATGTTTCACTGTAAACAACTCGGTCACAAACCCCCTACCTTTCTTAAAGCCCTCTTGTCATATGCCTATCTATTCTCCGTCTTACTCTTAATTATTTCAATTATAACTCTACATACACTTTTCCTGGTACACTCAACAGATTATTCCCCCTATCATTTTTTGCACTCTTTTTATCCCCTTTGCCTTTATACAAGGAACTATGCATGCTCTCTGCCTAATCCCTAGGTACCTTACCCTCTTCACTCATTTATTAAATATTGACACCAACACTCCAAAAAACTATATCCCCACCTGCTTTTATCATTTCTATCTTTATCCATCAATCCCGGCTGCTTACCCCCTTTCATTTTTACCTAATGGCCTCACGAACTTCCCCACACTCACAAATGGCTCTTCCTCACTCCTACTAGATGTATTCCTCCTTGAATTTATACTATACTCATAAATGCTAGCGCTTCCAAATCAAGAAGGAGAAAGTGGTAGGCCCTCATATGAGAGAAGGGTCTGTGTGGTCATGTTTTTGGGGCACCATATAAAAAAATCTGGAGCACGCAGTGCATAAATGGAGAAAAAAAACTCCGACTGTTTTTTTTTATTAAAATGCCGACTTTCGTGGTCTATTTTTGTATTAGTATTTATAGTTGTATTTCTCGTTTGTTCTGGTCTCATTTGAATAGGAATGGAAAACATAATTGAAATAGAGGTGATTTTTCGATTGATTTTATACTATAAAAGGAACCTGGAAATGGAGCTCAAAGTAGGGGAAATGTTTGATTTTTGCTGATGTTCAAAATGTAAACAAATGACGTGTCATTGTCCAATAAATGTCCAACTAAGCCATTCTAATATGCAGGTCATGGAATGGGTTGATGTTATTTATACAATTATTACAGTATAGCAGAGTCAGCATAATAGTAATCTTCTGTTTTTTGCTTTGGAAAAAAAATTCAAAAATTTAAAGCAAGAGTAATATCAGTGGGGCCTGGAGACATGACTGATGACAAAGAAAATGTTAATTTAGAGCCAGGAATGTTGCATTGTTCATTCTGGACCTTATTTTTTGAAATTGTCATTTTTTTAATTTTCATGAATTGGCCAATTGCAAATTTCTGACCACCCATTTATTAATTGTTTTTCGGGTACGTTTGAAATTGGTAAATGGGCAGTTTCTTGTACCAATCGATAGACAAAAATGGAACTACCAAATGTCTCTAAAGAACAATAGCTATGAGTGGTCGACTGGAAACAATAGAATTAGACGAATGGTAGGGCTCTAAGTGGGCGAAACTGCCGATTTGTAAATATCGCCGAGGTCACTAACTTATGTGAGTCCGTAACTTCCGTCAGTTTTCCATCAAATTTTGTTTTTTTTTTGGTGTCATTTCAATCGGGAAAAGATTCTCTATCATTTCATAAGAAATTTTTTTTTTTTTTTTAAATTTTGCGACACCAGGAGACACCTCAGGATTCGGGGGTTGCAACAGTCAAGGGTTAAGCAAGAATCACTGTGAAACGATTCTCTGTGGTGGACACGCTTTTTCCCATAACCACTTGCTGTGGGGTGTTTTTGTGTTACAATATGTTGCTGACTATGGAAACATTTTAATTGTTTGTCATAGCTTCATTCTTTTCGTTTTCAGTTTTTTATTGTTTTTTTATTAACCCCTTTGACTGTTGCACCCCAAATCCTGAGGTGTCTCCTATGGTGTCGCAAAATATTTGAAAAAACAAATTATTTTCTTATGAATTGATAGAGAACTCTTTACCCAGATAGTAATGTCACAAAAGTAAAAATTTGATTGGAAAAACTTACTGATTACACTCTCAAGATGTTAGCAACTCTCGGCGATATTTTCGAATCTGCGAATTTCGCCACTTTGAGCTCCCTATTTTCGGCTAATTCCATTGTTCCAAACGACCAAACTCATAGCTATTTCTTAGAACTCCATGTTTTCTGTTGGTTGAGTACAAGAAAGCTGCACTTAGGTTTCAATTACCCAATAAACATGGTCAGATATTGGCAATTTGGCCAATTTCATGCAAATTAAAAATATTCCAATTTCTAAATAGGGTCAAGAATGAACAAATGCAGACATTCCTTCGCTCTAAAATAACATTTCTTTGTTCATCAGTCACGGTCTCAGGCCCTCTGATATTACTCTGCCTTCTATTTTGAATTTTTTATTCAAACAAAAATGCAGACTACTGCAATATTGTAATAATTGTATAAATAATGTCAACCCATTCATGAATGCATATTAGAATGGCTAGTTGGACATTTATTGGGATCAATGATGTCATTTGTGTACTCTTGAACATCGGAAAAAATCAAACATTTCCCCTACTTTGGCTAATTTCAAGGTACTTTTCATAGTTAAAACAATCAAATCACCTCCATTTCTATAATATTTTCCATTCTATCAAATGTGTCCTAGAAAATGAGAATATAACCATAAAA